TCACAGCACAAGACTTAATTTTGGTTTAGGATTTTAATTATTTGCACTACTATCCATCTCTCATTTGGTACTGTCTCTGACGTGGTTTTCTCCAGCAGTTCTGTTTGGTTTTCCTCATTGTGTTACGATGAACTGTCTGCGATCATTTCACATAACCAAGGAAAAGTTTTCCTCTGACATTGCTTTCTTCAGCTTTTGGTGGTACAATATTTGTCTCAGTCTCAGTTTCCTCCCTGTTATATTAGTTATACAGCTTTTCCTCTGGAGAGTGTTGTTCCTGTAAGGTGTTTTACATGGGCAGTGGCCTGAAGAGGCCTCACTGGGCCCATTGGCACAAGGAATTGCCCATGTGGAATAACTTGTAAAGGCGAGACATTGATTTGTTCAGTAATGCATGATTTTCAGTTCCCTTGCAGAACCTAGTTCACCGTCTTCTTCCTTCTCCTGCAATCATTCTGTAGCTGCACTGTAATATGTATATAAGGTAAAAATCATTATTAGATTACCTGGGTAACTTTTCGCACACGTTCATCATCAGTGTAATAAAGTGTGAGGCACTGAGAGCCAAAGTAGTTCATGGTCACCAATTCTGTTTTTTAAGAGCCTGACATAGTTAACAGATTTCAACTTTGTGCAGTAATCTACAGTGACACTGTTATGCAGGAAGCTGTACCAGTCAAGTTCAGTCCTGCTTAGGGTGTGTTTTTGCTGATTTTAATTTGGTGGTTCAGATTTTGGGTCAGTGCCAGAAGCCTGCTTTGGATCAGGCAGGGTTGTTGGTCCCACTATGAGGAGGGCAGTGGCTTTAAGGGTTGAAGAGTGATCAGCTACTGGTAAAGGAATGGTTTATACTTTCATTAGGATTGAATTTGTGATTCCCTAGTTCTTTGCAGTTTAAAAGCTAATATATATTTTTTTTTCTTCTTCCCCCCCCCATATTGTGGTTAGTATGAAATGAAGAAGCAATGCAATTATGCTATGCAGCTACTCATACAACTGTTCAAAGAACAAGCAGCCTTGGATTTTTACCCTAGGTGTGCCTACAAAGATGTTTCAGCACTCAGAAATACAGAATGCTTTAGATCCTTTTCAGTCTCCCTTTGATACTGAGTTTAAATTAAAGGACCCTGATACAGCCCTACTTCCTAGCAAGGTTAGCATGACAGACCCAATTGGGTTTTGTGTACATTAACTCCTTTCCCTTAATAAACTGTTATACAGAATGCTGATCGAAGGTAACACAAGAAGAGATTCTTGACAAACAAGTCCATTGAAATGTACTCTGAACCTGTAACAACAAAGATTTGCATTTCCTCTCGCTTCAGCCTTTGCCTTTCCTTGAAAGTTTGGTAAATTCCTATCAACCCTGTTATTTCCCTGTGTGCACTGGGAGACTCAGACTGCTTGCCAGAGCTTCTCCCACAGAGAGGCTCTACTCCAGCTGTTGACAGGCCATTAAATCCTACTTCTTTTTCTCATCCTGAAGTTCTTTAATGATTTAGTGTTCTCTCTGATCCCAGGCCTTGTCCTGGAAATAGCAAACATTGTTAGCCAGACTGGATCCAGCTAGAACAGCAGGCATATTCTCTAATAGGTCCATGCACTGTCCTCTTGGAAGAACTTAAGTCTGTCACAGTTTTCATTACTTGTTTGCTCCCTCCCTCACCTCCTTATCCACTAAGAGACTCTTGATTTGACTTGACAGTCAAACAGAATACTATCAGACCAGGAAGCTTAGATATACTTAATATTTATAAGGTGGAATATAAGAAGTCATATATATGAGTTGGGGAGATAGCAGAAAGAGAGATTTTGAAGAAAGAAGCATGTTGATTTGGAAAATGTTAGGAAATACCAGTAAGTAACAGGAAAAAACTGTTACAGTAGGCATTTAATTTAATTTTTCTCAGTACTTTGTCAGGGTGGTGTCTCATCTTCTAATGGCTCAAGTCTTCATTGCTTTTTTGAGAATGCTTTTATAGCTTGTCTAAAGCTTTCTGATACATTTATTATGAAGCATAGGTATATGTAGGCTAACATTTTCAAGCCTGAGTGGATGCAGTTAGACACCCTAAATCCATATCTAGGCACTTAAAGAAATGTGATTTTCAGAGGTAGGGAGCATTGAAACACATTTGAAATAATTTTGAGCTTAGTACTGCTGAACATCAGATAGCATTTTTTATGCTTAAGTGTAATTTCAAGCTCTGAAAATTTTGACTGTATGATGAAAGAGAGTTTTAGACTATATATCAATTTTAAAACATTGCAGAGGGGGTAAAACTGTTTGTCTTATCTTTTTTTCCACAGTGACATGTAGTAGGTTTCTGTGCAGGCCTCTTCTAGCAACATCTTGCATCTTAACAAAAGAGTAATCTAAAAATAAGCCCTTTTTCCTTTCTGTGGTCTGCAGTATGACCAGCTTTACAAGAAAGCCTTGCCCACGTTAAAGGGCACTTCAACACCATCCTTTTTGTACGTTCCATGCTATATGTATTTAAGATTTCATTACTAAAATAAGAAGGTGGGTGCTCTTACAGCAATTCCTTCCAAATCTAACAGGACATCAGTTTTACAGACTTTGTCCTCAGTTCCAAACATATCTAAGAGTTTGGGATTGCTTTCATTTGAAAAGTAACTACAGATTAAACCCGAGTAGTATTCAATTCTTAAGGGAGCACAGAGAAAGGAGCAGCCAATGCTATGGAATTACATGTGGCCAGGTTTTCAAGTTCCCTGTTCACAGGCTAGATTCTCATTGGTGGCACTCTGAGCCTGCTGGTACCAGTTCCTATGCTGGTAGGATCTTTTCCGCTGCGCGTTACATGATGAAACATTAAAGACTGAACAAGAAGGAAGATTAGGAAGAAATTCCTGTCCTGAGAAGCAAAATATTATTTGAGAGAGATACTTGAGGGACTAATCTCTGAATTTAAAAGACAATTTCACTTTACTACAATGGTTTGTTCAATATGAGCCTGATTCTGCAAACATTTATGCATGAGTAGCTTTACACAAATGGGTAGCTCCATCAGGCTAGGTTTTTGTGTATTACTTCTTACGTTGAAGTGTTTGGACAAGGCCAGATCTCATCTCTCTATGTTGTGCCTTCTCAGGGATTTCCTTTCAATTTTTACTTAATTTATAATGCAAGTATGTAGTTAGCTCCCCTGTGCTCCTAACTTTGTCCCTCAGTGTAACTTTAACTCCAAACTCTTGATGCTAAATCGGTCTGTCCATCGTTGTCACACTTAGTCCTGATACCTTGTAGATGACTGCAGCTGTTATAACAGAGGAAACCAGCCCTGTAACAAATGCTACAGAGTAGCTAAGGTAGCTAACTAATCGGTAGTAACTTCAGTTGTTTTGTGTATGACGGTGTAGGGGTTACTTCTGCAGCTCAAATCCCAGTCAGTGCTCTGCTGTGATGCACAACCAGTCTCAGTAGGATCAAGTGAGCTTGAAATGTCACAATCAACTATGAGAGAAATAAAAAGCTGGATTATATGAAGATTATTATCAAGTGAGCAAGATGCTTTAGGAATTTCTTCTCTTAATTCCTCTGTAGACACACACACGAAACCAATTTTCAGAGATGTGCCAGAGACGCGGCATTACCAGACAAGGTTTCTGCAGGCTGAAAGGGTCCAGCTCTGCCGTCGGGGCCTCCTGAGGCGGCTTTCGGGAAGGAAGTGGCATTGACTACGCCAAGCCCGGCCTAGCTTCGATGCCAAATCATTTACTGGCAAGGAGCACAGCACAGAAAGCCCTCCCGCACTCCGCCCCACCGCGGCCAGCCCGGGCGCCGGCCGGTGCCTCCCCGCGGGGCTGGAGCGGGGCTCGGTCGCTCCCTGCGGATCCAAGACCGGCTCTGCGGAGGCCGCGGGCGCGCACCGGAGCGGCAGGGACCGCGC